TTACTTAGATCACAGTTGAAAAGCTTAAATGAAAACAGGGTTTCTATTTCCAGAGCTTGTTTAACATCGCGAATGTGATACAAATTGTGGGCTTCATGTTTTTAATTAAGGTTACATACCCGGCCATGCACAGAAAAGTAAGTCAATAGCTGCTGGCCACGTACCGCGGCCTGCAGCCGGCTCCCCTGAAGGTGGTGCAGCGCCGGCTGATGGGAGCACCGGGGCTCCCAGGCATCCCACAGCAGGGCGGGGGCCTGGGGTGCAGCAGGAGCTAGGGCACCTGGGGCTGGAGCTGCAAGAAGCTCCTTGCTGGTCCTTGCAATGCCCCTCTCCCAGCCCTTGCGCATGTGCCCAGCCTCAGACAGCTGGCAGGCTGGGCTGGCATGCCAGAAAGTGGCAGCAAGGCACCTTTCCAAGGGATATCGTGGAGAAAGAGCCTAAAAGTGGTGCTCTGGGGCCTAATCTGTCTCACTGGAAGAGGCAGGAAAAAATCAACCCTGCTGTCAGGCTGAGAGGAGAATTTGCTCCTGAGGTTGCGAGCGATGGAGCTCCCCAGTGCCAGCCCCGCTCCAGCCAGTGGAGGGGCTGCAGCCCCAGCCCGGTTGCCCGTGGCAGGCGGCCGCCTCGCAGAGCCCGGCTGGCACCGCCGGGGCAGGCTGGAGCGCTGCTCTGCCTGCTCCCCCTTCCCTGGCCAGGAGCAGAGGGCCATCCAAAACCAGTCTAGTAGCACACTGTCTACACTCCTAAACAGTCCTCGTTTCTGGTTTGCACTCACAGCAAAATGTTGCTTTTGTCCCTTGCTTCGTGCTCTGGTTATTTTTTAAATGCTTTCAGCAAACATTTCCTTGGCGTTGCATTCTCACAGCTCCCTCCTCCAGCTGCAGATTCCTTCACAGTAAACATATATGTTTGAAATTCAAAGAATTTCCTCACGTCCCTGGTACACTCTGCGCTATGGCATGCTGGGTGGCTAAATAACTACGGCCATGTATGTCGAAGGGCCTGAGAAGCCGGGTAGGTGAGAAATTGTTTAGGATTATGCAAAATGAGGTGTTATCTACACTGCAAAATAACTACACTCGCAGGGAAAGCATCTGCAGAGACCTGTTGCCATCCATGGCAGCAGCTGGGTCAGCGCTGAGCAAAGTCCTGAGGCACACGTAGGGAAGGATGAACCTGCTTAACCAAGTTGGCTGAAAGGGGTTTGCTCTGCTTCTGCAGGCAGCCAGAGCTGGCAGAGCCCCAGGCTGAGCAGGGGGCTCTCCCTGCTCAGCCTGGCAGCCCCCAAAGCACTGGGGTGAAATAAGGTAGGGGAGAAGTTAAATCTTGTAACATGGAGTTTTGTTAAATATAATCCTAAGGAAGGAAGGAAGAACTGTCCCCTTCGAACATTTTGCAGGACCAATGCCTAGAATAGCCCCTGGCTTAGAGCAAGGGGGGCTCAGTGCTTCATCCTTGGGAGCAGCGGGATCATCATACTGGGCATGTGACACCTAAGGGGGGTGATAATTATGTTGGTCTACTAGAAAGAAAAGATAGGCTCTGAAATTGCCACCTAATTACAGGCCTTTTTGCATGCAAAAGAGCTGTGGAGAGGTGAGCTTTGGAAGGTTTCTCAACAGCAGTGAAGGAGCACCTGAAAGATAAAATGTGTGCTTTCTTCTCCTCTTTATGGGTGTTTCATTTGGAGGAATTGGTAAGAGGGTGTGCTGAAGTGGAAACGTATGCAGGTAGCAAACACACCAACACCATGTGTGACCAGCCCTAAAGCAGCTTTGCTGGTGGTGCTGCGGCAGGTAATGCTGTCAAACCGCAGGGCCAAAGACTGTGGGGAGCAAGGAGGGCAACAGCAGCAAGAAGGTGAAATGGGGAGGCTGTCAAGAGGACATCCTGAAGCCTGGCAGGTGTGACCATTAGCCAAACCCTGCTTTCACTTCCAGGGTTGACTAGACCGAGACAAAATTATAGACTGTAGCTCCAGCATAGCACGCAGCATAACGCAGGTATTTCCTTACCATTTACATCCAGGAAAGGTGTTCATTAAAAGAGCTGGTCTGCAGGCCACTGAATGCAGGCCACCAGATTTTGCCTGATGAAAAAGCCAAAAACAAGAACTGCACCAGACTCTGTACAAACGCGGGAGACAACCTTGTGTGAAGGTCCAGTTCTTGTCTTCCACAGAACAGGAAGGGTTGCATGCTATTTCTGTTTAGAAAAGAGCAGACTGAGGGCATGGGCTGGGTTGTAGAGTGGACTCATGTGCTACGACACCTAATATTTTCTCATCTGGCTTCTAGCTTGGCTCAGCAATGAAATCCAGAGCCTGGGTTATGGCATGGCAGGGGGAAGTGGCCAGGGGGCTTCAGCTGCAGGAAGAGGTTGACCGTGAAGCTGTGTCTTGAACGTGGCCTTGCACATGGCTGTCAGGTGTGGGGGGACCGAGGCCACTCTGGAGGCAGGGAGCGGGGCTGGCGACCATGGGCAGGGGGCAGGTGCCTCTTTGGGAGCTGCAGCAGGCAGTGCTGTCCCCGTTGCTGCTAAGAAGCAGGGGGGCCTGTGGAGTGGCGGCCCTGGTGACACCCTCAAACTCTGGAAAAAGCACTGGGGTTAGTGGCAGCAAAAGTCCCAGACAAACCACAGACCAAAAAAAAAGCCCAACCCATAGCTGTTGCTTTATCTAGGAGGATGGAGGACCCAGTTCTGTTCTGCATCTTCTTTGATGTGTTTTGTCCTAAGAATTAATAAACAAAACAAGATCTCCAACCAAGGACTAGATCTCACTTCTTTCTACTTCCATGTGAACCCCCCCAAAGAGTCAGAAAAACAAGCTCCTGACTGGTGCTCAGGGGCTTATTTTTTTCCTGCTGCTTTGTTCCACCTCCATTTTTAATTGCATTTTTTAGATTTTCATCCCCTGGGCCATGTAGAACAAAGCACCTTCCACAGGGCCTCTGCTGTGCTTTGGCTGCTGCGTGCAGTGGACACGGGGAGGAGGAGGAGGGCTGTGGTCTTTGCAGGAGCCGTGTTTTCCCAGCGCCCCTTAACCCAAGCTCTGTTGGGGCTCTGTGACCAGCCACGAGCTGGTCACAGCCAAGCGCTCCAGAGAGGTGCCGGATGCTTTTCCTGGGAATGACAATGGTGTGTAACACGGTGTTAATTAGGGGGAAACGTGGTTAGCAGGAGAAGCTGTGCAGGAGAAGTTTGGTCTGGGACAGACTTGGTGGCTCAAGACCAGGCCTTTTGGTTATTCAGCTTCATTCGCGTGCGTGAGCTGTTCTTCATTTTGCGCTTTTAGGACCCAGGTGGGATCCCTTGTGTGTGTCTCACCGAAGACCCCACTCTGGCTCTTATGGCCCACCTGGTTTCTCCAGTGCCCTGCCCTCCTTTGAGTCAAGCTGTGTGGGTTGCTCCAGTCTGCACCATTGCTCCTCTGTTGCTCATTTTCGCTTAACCCCAAAGGAATACAAAGCCAGAGACTCAAGCCTTACATTTCTACATGAACCCTTTTTTCTGTACAAACAGGAGTTGAAACGTCCCAAAAGAGGCTGATTTTCCTAATCATATGGTAATGTATCAATATAATCAACACCCATAATATTACTGTTACATGTATTTTATTCTTTTCATAACCATTTCTTTTAACTGAGCTTTAAAATCTGCATTTAATATTATCTCAGGAAATTCACATTTTCAGTGCCTTCACTGGCCAGGGAATGATTCAGTTCCATTTAATGTAGGATCTCAGATGGCTGATGTCTGCTCTGCATTTGAAAAATGAATGTGGATTTGTTTGGATTTAACCTTAATGGTTACAGGTCACATTCCAGAAATCACTGCTTTGAGAAGTTAAGGATAATGTTGAACAGTTGATAATGGTAATGATAATTCTAATTTTTCGTCAGCCACCTGTGCAAAAATAAACACCACACACTGTGTTATTGAATTCCCTACTATTTATTCCTGTTTTTCCATCTAGCACCACTGGAAAGGATAAAGTCAGGTATTTTTACCACCAATATTCTTTGGTATTACAGATACAGAGGTCAATCCATTTAAAATAATTATCTGCAGAATGGTTCAAACCACAAAGGATATTTGCTAAAGTCTGCCTTTTCTGGGCAGGGAGAGAGGAGGATGGGCGCGAGCGAAGGTGATGCAATAACACATAGGGACACCATGTGCCACCACGTGGCATCTGGCTGGGACCCGTCCCCTGGGTCTTACTCTACCAGCCCCAACTCTTGAGCATCCCCAAACACCCAAAAATGTGAACTAAAGCAGCAAGGTGGAGAGACGCGCGCGGGCCGAGGGGACGGACAGGGCAGCTGTGAGGGGTGACTCCATTCCCCGCTTGAGCCGCGCACGGTTTTGTGTGATCGCGAGGATTTCACAATCCCCGTGCCTCTCTTCTGCAGCTGTAACACGGGAATAATAACGCTTCCTCCCCTTTCTCTGCTTCCTACTCTGCTTTTGGCACACGGCTAATACAAGAAGGCTTGATCTCAGTTGGAATCTATCAGTGCTACTGACATGTTAATAATACCAGCAGAAACGTTTCCTCTTTCCTTTGCACTGACAAAGCTCTGCGCGGGGTAGCAGCTCCCAACACGTCAGCCCAGAGCGTATTCACTTTCAACCCCAAATCTGAGGCGTTTTCTGGAGACAAGACAGAGAGGATACAAGATTCAGACTGACTTTTAGGATTTTAAACAGGGAGAAGCAGTCATAACATGCTTCAGTTTGATGGCCCTCCTGTTATTGCATAAAAAACACTCCGAAATATCCTCAGCCTCTGGGCTACTTGCACAGCATAAAACCTTGTGTGGCTGAGTCAGGGTTTTGATGATTTTCTGTCTAGAAGCTCCCCTGGTAGATGTCGGGTCCTGGAGAGGACAGGCAGAGTCGGAGCATGTTGCCTCGGCAACACGGATGTAATTGAGGGGATTTTGTGTCTTGAAGGAAAACCCCAAAGTTAGTGCCGGTTTCTATGAAAGCCGTACGGGGTCAGGCACCCGGAGCCGCCCGGGGAGAGCTCCCTCCGGGACACGGGATCCCGCTGTCTCTGGCTCTGCTCAGGAGTCACCCAGTAGCGGCTTGGTTTCCCGCAGAGGAAGCCTGAGAAAGTCTGAGGATAAAATAAAGTTGCAGAAAGATTTTTTAAAGATGACTTGCAACTAATATTTTTGGCCTGAGTATGAAAATCTCCTTCTTTATTGCTTGCAGTCATATAAAAACATCTCCCTAGTCGCTCTAGCTTTTACATAATTGATAATTTATAAATCTCTAATAACTTAGAAGATTTCTTAAAGTTTTCCAATATTAATAAATATAAATATTTATTCAAGCAGATTAAAAAGGCAGGCAGACCATATTAATCTGTTTAACTGCTGCTGATAGCTGTATTATCTCCTTTTTAGAACTGAAGTTAAAGCTCTGCAAATAGTTTTAAAATACACAAATGCTACTCTAGCAGAGGCTAAAGCCAAAGACTCAAAATGCAGTTTGGCTTTCATAGCTGTTGCCAGCCTCGACCGTCAATACCCAAGGAGAGGCACCAAACTCATGCTCCGTCTGCGTTTTCCTCATTGTGTACAGAATAGATGGGTTCTGCAGGGTGCAAAACATGAGGTGTAGCAGCATAACTCATGTACAAACCGTTACTATTTATTATTGGTGAGGCTGAGGCATGCAAGCCAGAGAAGGAAATAGCTGGCACATCTTCATTAATTCCTTCTGGTTCTAAAGTAGTTTTCAGGAAATAATTCTGCAAGACCTGGGCTACACACACAGCGTATTTATTCGGAGTTGGCAGGGGCACCAGAAACCGTATAGTTTATAGAGGCCTCGTTTCTTTGGATCCTGAAGGTGTTTATCAGAAATGATTTTTCAACAGATTAGAGTCACACACATACACAGTACCAGTCCTACGATACTTGCTGGTGTCTTCAAGTACTTTAGGTTTAATCATAACCCCCATCCACCCTATGAATAAGCTTCAGAAATTCCCCAATGGCATTAAGGGTTATTTTGAGAATGAGGAGCCATCCACCTTAGCACATCAAGTGAATATTGGCTTTGCAGGTTTGGTTTTTTTTTTTCTCCAAATTATTTGAATATAACTATTATTTTTTCTTCTGTATTGTGACTATTTGACTTGTGACCTTGGGAATACTTTTCATGTTGCTTTGAGATCTAGCCATGACTAAACCCACAAGTTTAGATATATATTCAGACTTTTTTGTCTGAAAAATAGACTGAAAATCTTGAGTATCAGTCTCTCTCATGAGATGCCCTGATTTCATGCTTTACAGGAGGGCCAGAAATAACATGAGAACAACTTTTCTCACAGTATTTCGGTAGTTCTTTTCTGGCCATTGCCAAAAGCAGGATGTGAAGACATGCATGAACATTAAAGCAAACTCTTATTAGAATAGTTCAAGTTCCTTTTGCATTGTGGTAAAAGTTTGTGTCAATTTTTATTCTATTCAGACTATTTCAACCCTTTCAGTACTGCAAAAATCCGTCAGTGTTTTTTAATAAATCATTCTGCTAGCTTAAATGTGATTTGTGGGTTTTCATCTTTTTTTCTTTTTTTTTTTTAAACACAGGCCAAGAATATGACAAAGTGCTCAGACCCAAATTGCACATTTGATTGTACACATAAATGTTGGCTATGCTGCTGGCTATCCCATTGGCTTTGCAAGCGTTCCTCATTTGTGTAATATTAAGCATCCAGCATTTGCTGGATTGGGACAGAAGCTGCCCTCAGATGCCTGGGGGAGGGCTGCAGCTGCCCTCAGCGGGGACGTGCCCCAGGGCATAAGGACAGAATCAGTTTCAGATTTGCATAATTAAATTGTTTCCTTCAAAGCTGTCAACAAATTCAGGTGCCCGTCACCTCACAGCGTTTCCACAAAGTAGCAAAATGGTATAAAGTTACCTGCTGCAGCTGCCAGGGTAAATACTGGGAGTAAGCGCAAGCACAAAGCAGGGCCGCAGCCTGCTCCCGTGTGCTCCTCCAGCGCGGGAGGTGCCCGGGGCAGGCAGCCCCGTCCTGGCCGTGCCCGTCACGGTGCTTACGGCACTGTCATGAAGTGCTCCTGCCTCTTTTCAGAGCAATAGTCTGAACACGTGCTCTGCCCAGACACTGGCTTGGTCCCCCCTGGAGAGAGGCTCTCCGCCTGGCCCGGAGGCGTGGTGGCATCAGCCAGGGTTATGGTCCTCTCTGCAGAGCAAGGCTTTCCAGATCTCTGAACGTGGGTGCTTCCCAGGGTGCAATGGAGGTCAGCGAAGCCTTATTGGACTTTACCTTCTCCATCAGGTTGAAGCAAGGCAGCCTGTTTTAATAGACCAGGGCAACCCTTGCTTGCCTATGTTTCCTCTTCCCCAGTTCAGTAAGGAAAGAAACGTGGGGACGTGGTGAGCAGCTTGTCCACGCAGGGGTGCCTTGCTGCCACTGGCAGGCTTTTCCTGATGAGGAGCCAGGCACCTCGCCCACAGACTAGGTTCTCCAACCAGAGGGAAAGCGAACAGCACTTTGGACTGCCCAGGACAGCAGTGAAAGCCCAGATCTCCTCAACTGATCTGTTCACTAGCTGCTAGCCCCAGATCGCCACATATAGCCAGGTGGTTGGCTGAAGTACTTGGTCTTCTTAGGAAAGTTGTCATCCCATCGGTTCCTGGGTGGAGTGGGTCACACCATGGTTACATGTGGAGAGGAGACCTCTGCTTTTGTGCTGAGACTCTCCCCGAGGACAGCTGAGGTATCGGTGTCTTACTCCAGATGGGTGAATCAGAGCATGAAATAACTGCCTGGCAAGCCACGAACTGGCAGGCAGTTCAGGGTTTGTGGATCCAGCCCTGAGATTACGAATCCCAGGATCTCAGATCAAGAGGGGACTTCAGGAACAGCTGAACCCTAGTACAGGGTTTTGCTGTTCGCCTTTCTCCAGGAAGAAGTTATTACAGGGCCAAAACCACCTGGCTACAAACTATTGGAGTTGAAAATAGACCTCCTCAACATTTGTTGACCCTCCTTCAGGGGCATGTAATATCTGTCTCCATGGATTGGGATGCAGATATCTGAGGAGGAACAGATGGCCTTTTGCGGTGCACAAGTGACACACTGCTGGTTTTATTTAAGAAGCCCTTGAGAAAGACACCCTCAATAGCTGCTGGGCCTTCTGTAGTTCAATCAACTCAACTGTGAGATTTTTTTCAATGTTGTCACAGCCACTGTCCTGTAACAGGCTGTGGCTGAGGTGCCTGAGCCTGCTTGGAGCACTGTCTCCAAAAAAAAGACACTTAGATTTGTGCCTGTGTTTATGTGGGAGACTCTCCACAGATTAAGCCATAAGGTCCCAGTTAAGGTAATTCTGTCTGGCAGCAGCACTAGATAGTTTGCAATGAACATTTACAAACCAGCCAAGGAATATGATTTCTTACACAAAAGATCCAGATTTTTAAGGTTCTTACCCATGGAGCTGCTTCAAGCAGTCCTCATGCCACGGTCCTCCTTTGGATGGACTCCGCAGCTCTGGACCAAGTGGCTGATAATACAGAAATGCTGAAAATGCCTGGAAAGGACACAGTCTTGTCAATCATCTCCAATGAAGGTAGCAGTCACAAACACTTGGGTTTGCCAAAAGTCTCTGGCTAGTTCCAAGAAGCCTTCGTTTGTTTGCATTGCTAATCTACCAGAGACCGAGACTGCTCGGAGAGATATCGAGCCTTTTGTAAGCTTTCTTTCCTGCTTCTGTTGGGATCTGCAGGACAGCAGCCATCTGAGAAGGTTTTGGGAGACTGCACAGTTATCAGACTGAGACAGAAGGAAATCGTCTGAGCTGGAGGCGAGGCAGCCCATGGAGCTAAATGCACGTTTTCGTTCTGCAAGTCCCCTTGCTTCCCCCGGGGCTCGGCTGCTTGTCAGGGTTGGCAAACTCAAGGCCTCACTGCAGCGGGGTCTGGACAGGCTGGAGGGATACCCTCCTGAAGCTGCATGCCCATGAACTTCAGTGAATGCCGTGACACGAGGAGGGCATTTGACTCACAGATCATGTTGGGATCCCCCACTGCAAGAAAAATTTCTGTACGGTTTTTTGGAGCTACCTTCTCCCAGCAGAGTGAGGAGGTGAACTGTATCGCCATATACTTTCAAGTCTTTATGGAAAGGGTAGTACATGGGGTATAGGGCACACGCCCTTTTCCCGAGTAGAAGCAGCACTGTTTCATATGCCTCGTTGGCTGGAATGATTCCCCAAAAGAGGGCTTGCCTTTGGGTCCTGACAGTCTGGGTTGCCATCCCACCATGCAGCATCCCAAAATCTGCATTTATCGAGCTAAGAAACTAAATAATCTTTGCTTCTTAACGAAGTCCTTCCTTAAGAAACCTTTCTTTCCACCTTGCTTCCTTCCACACAGTGATGTGACTGACCAGCACGTCTCCCTGCAGCCGAGGAGGCAGCTGCACTCGCGTGGGCGCTGCAGCAAAGAGCAAGGCGAGAAGCAGAGTGCGTGAGTGCAGTCATGCTGCCCCGGTGCTCCCGGGGCTGGAGCACATCGGGTACCGGGACAACAGTGGCAGACACGGGAATCACTGGGAGTGACTCCCGCATCCCTCCCTTTAGATCTTCCTCGGGCAGGAGTGATATCCTACAACTTGTCTTTGAATTTTTGCGCTGCTGCCTGTTGCCCAGAGCTGCCCAAGGGAGCTGCTCCTGGTCACGGCAGGCTGGCTCTGCAGCACATCCGCAGCCGTCGGGAGCTCTCCAGAGGCAGCCTGCGGCCCCCTTTGGCTCTCACTCAGCTGTTTTGCCATCATTTTGTTTGCAGTTATTCAAGACGTGTTTGCCCGAATCCCACTTGGTACTGGCCAATGCAAAATGTTACCTGCCCCAGCAAAGTGAGATTTCACCTATTTTTCTGCAAACCTTATTGATTAAAACCTTGAAGGGGTACCTGCAGGTGGCAGCCACTTTTTGTAACTGAATTCCCTCCACATTCTTATTACTTTGTAAAACTGCTACTAGTTGATTATAGAAGCACAAACTTGTTATTTTGTTGGCCTGTTTCATTTTAGAAATGTAAATCTGGTGGACCTCTGACAATTACTAACTTTCTCATTGGATTAAATTCTTAGACAGTTTTATTGTTTCATTCTGTGGGGTTTTCCAGGGTTTTCTTTGGCTGGGTCAGCCTTTCTAAACTGCCACTTAGATTTGCTATGAAAATATATGCCTCTCTGCATCCGTTGCACACCCTGCCAGACGCACAGTGGAAGCCCCGAGCCCAGGCTGCTTATCAGGCCCCTCCCCGGCACTGCAGGATGCTTACAGCGGGGCCCGTGGCACTGGGAAACCCCATGGAGAAGCTTTATGCTCGATCTTAGCCCTCTCAGGGATGTAGACACTTACTTTAAGTTGCAAAGAGATGCTTCACAGCCCGGAAGCTGCTTCTGAGTTGTGTATTTTGTCCAGCACTTTCTGAGGCCCCAGCATCACAGCTGCGTTTTGTCCTAGTTGTAATGGTTGCCCATGACATGGAATAGCTGTTCCCAGGCCACGAGGGTCCTCGCTCACATTGGCTTT